GGCCCCTAGCACTCTCAGGATAATTTTTTTATTATGAATAAACGTAATTGATTTCTCTCCTCCCTCTTCCCTCCCTCTCCCCCCCCCCCCTCTTCTCTCTCTCTCTCTCTCTCTTCTCTCTCTCTCTCTCTCTCTCTCTCTCTCTCTCTCTCTCTCTCTCTCTCTCTCTCTCTCTCTCTCTCTCTCTCACACCACACCACACACACAGCACACACACACACACACACACACACACACAACACACACACACACACACGCACACGCACACGCACACGCACGCAACGCACACGCACACGCAACACTCACACCACCGCACACGCACACACACACACACACACACACACGCACATACACACACACACACACACAAGGATATCGACTCAGAAGAGGTTATTTTATAGTGTGTTAAATCCATCTTCTCCTAATTGACTCGACGTCCTTTTAGTTCTCTTTCTCATTTTGTCTTTCCCACATTTCGATCCACCAACTTTACTCCACCTCCATTTCCCTTTCCCTTCAACCCCTCTAACCCTTCCCCTCCACATCCTCTATCGCTCTCCCCTCCTTTACCTCCTCCTCCTTCCACCCTCCCACTTCTCTCCACTTCCTCCTCTCCTACCTCATCTACCCTCATTTTACCTCCTTCGACCTCCCACCCCCTACCCTCTCCCACTCCATTGCACACGACATCATGAAACCTACAGACCCTCTCCAAACTACATAAAAGAAGTAAAAAACTCGAACTACCTAACCACCCAGTAACACCGATCATGACGGATTATACCCCTACTGAACACTGAATCCCCTCTCTAATGGCACATCTAAACAAAGAAGACCCGAGAGAAACCGAACACCGTATAACACACCCCTACACCCTACGTAACCTACACCCTCATATGCCTTGCCTAATAATGAATCCAAGGCGAAGAGCAGATGATGTTGAAAATGGAAAGTTGGCTTGAGGCTTGAGTTACATGGCATAAACCGTAGTCACCACCATACCAAACCCCCCACCACCGAAAACAACAAACCCCCATACTACCCGTACTTTACCAATCACTTAAAATAAAACCGCTACATAATACACCACCACGGCTGCCCCTAGAACTCCATACAGTACACATTGCGCACCTCCTACAACTATCTCGTACATATAACGAGGAATCTTTCATTATCAGGTGCCTAAACTTGTATTTTAGGTCCTGGCGGTTTTAAATCGATGAGAGAAAAGAAGAAATTGTAGATACTCCCAACCGGCTCAGAGGGATAGACCCGTTCAGGCAACGTCCACAAACACACGCAATTCAAATCTAATAAGGTTTGTGACTGCGGGGCCCGGAGGGGATGCGACACTGGTAGTCTTTATAAGAAGATTACGGTATGCTGCTGAAGATCATTATTAATAGCAGAGACCTCCGAGAGGGAAGAGAGGTAAGAGGAGAAAGAGGAAGAGAAGAGTGAGAAGGGTGAAGAGAGAAACAGGAAGTTAAGGGAGGGTGGGGAGATGAGCAACAAGGGAGAAGGGAAGAAGAAGAGGAAAACGACTGCTAAGGAGTGAAAAAGGCATGAAAAAACAAAGAAGAGTGACATGAGAATATCGAAAAGAAAAAAAAAGTGCAAAAACAATGCAAACATGACAGGGAGACGACGAGTGTCATGTTAGAAAAAGAAAGGTAGAGACAAAAAAATAAGAAAGCAAAAATAACGGAACAGGAAGTTTAAACCTCCGCACGAAAAGCTGAAGAAAGACAAAGCCAGAAAAAGGAGAGGCATAAAGGAGGTAAACAGGGTGGAAGAGCTAGGGGAGCTGCGGCCAACCAGAAGAAGGGAAGAAGCAGGAAGGGGGCGGGAAAGTAGAAGGGAAGGAGGAGAAAGTTTAGCAGAGAGAAAAAAAAAAGAAAAAAAGAGAGGTAGAAGAAGAGAGAGAGAAGAGAGAGAAGGACATAGGAAGCAGTCGCATGGGAATGAGTCAAAATAGAATTAGCAAATGAAAGCATATGGAGGGCAGGAGTAAGAACAGCCAGAAGGAGGAGAGCCAAAAGGGGGGTTAGAGAGTGAGGGCGCGAAGAAAGAGAGGTAGATTAGGAAAAGGAAGGGTTAAGGAATAGAAGGAGGACGGATAAGAAAAGGCATAACGCGATAATGAATACGTTCGAGACAAATGAACAAAAATTAACGAAACAAGAAAGTATGAAGGGAATGGATAGATAGATAGATAAGAGAAGAGTAGAGAGAGTAGAAGAGGGAGAGAAAGAGCGAATGAGAGAGAGAGAGTACAGGGGGCAGGGGGAAGAGGTAAGGGAAAAGGTAAAGTGCAAGGAGAAAGTGAGGATAGCGAAGGGATAGGGCACGGGGGAGAGGAAGGGTGAGAGAAGGGAGAGAGAGAGAGGAAAAGAAGTATGGAGAATATAAGAAGAGAGAGAGAGGAGATATAGAGCAGGAGAACAAGAGAGGAGAGAAGGGGGGAGGAGGGGAGGGAGACGGGAAGTGAGAGGGGGGG